TCCATCAGCCGTCACAAAGGACTGGAGAGCAAATGAATCCCATGGAGCAAAGCTGAAAGGCATTAGCAGAGCCGGTCCAACAGCACCTAGAGCCCCTTGCTTTCCTTGCTGCATCTCCATCTTTATAGACAGCGCCTTTGTTCTGGGTCAGGGCTGTGGGACCACTTGGCCTTTGAGGGTTGGCCTGGACCATTAGGAGGTGAGGATGCATAGCTGGATGCTGGGTTTGGATCTTTAAACCAACCACATCTGGGGACAATAAAGCTGGATTAGGACTAGCTCCAAGACCCTGCAGCTCAGTGATATGGCTCAAACATCCTACCAGTCTAGGAGCTAAGCTGAGACTCTCCAGCTGCTACCTGAGTAAGCCATTCTGGATTTGCACCCGGGTCTCCCCAGATTAATTGTCTTTGCTGCAGTGTGGGTGATCAGAGAGCCTCAGTCGCTTGGGAAGCCGGCTTGATTAGGGATTTGTTGGCTCAGGCCGGGGCGAAGAACCTGGTTTCCATTTATTGCAGTGTGTTTTGGGGCAGGGGAGCTATTGGGGGAGAGAGGCTTGAAATATGAAAACTAATTAAATCTGATTGTCGGTCAGAAAAGCCTTCCCACTTGCCACCACTGTGCAGGGCCCTCGAAGGCCTGGACCTGCGCCAAGCACCATGGGAGTCACTTAACGACTTGGCCACGAGGATCTTTCACTTCCAGCAAATACATGGAAAAAAGTCAACTTTTCCATGCCCGAGGCTGCTGCTGAACAGAGATGCGGAGCCGAGGCCAGCGTTCCCAGGGCCGCGGCCCACGAGGAAGCTACGGGATCCATGTGTGTTGGTGAAGTGCCTCTTCTGGGAGTGCCGAGAGTGGGTTTCCATGGACCAGAATGACAGAACCTGCACCTCAGAGCATCACCCTGCTCCAGAGCTTGGCTGCTGGGACTGCATCTGGTTACCATCACGATTCGTTTGTGTTATGGACTGATTTGAGTTTTCATTAAGAAAGGGATCAAAGGCTCTGACTGCTGCCTTTGCAGGAGCATTGCATTCCTCCCGTTAGAGCTGAGTCGGGCAGGTGCCTTAGAGGGTCCATCCTGACACAGGGCTCTTTCACCTTCTGGCTCGGTTTGACTGAGAAGGAAAGGTCTGTGTTTGGGGACACAGCTCCAGGCTGCCCAAGGTCACCTGAACCACACAGGACACAGGTACCCTCATCTCTAAGTGCCTGTTCAGAAGCACAGAACGATGTCAGATGAAGGCAGGTCTCGTCCCAATGCGGTGAGAAGACTGATTGAGAGCTTATCAGCAGGTGCATCTACACAAGACACTTACTGCGCATTAGCCTAATAACACTGCGCGGTAGTTAAAAACCGCACTAATAGCCCACTGCGCAGCGTTATTAAACTAATGTGCAGTAAGCATCACAGAATAACTGTGCTGGTGCTACTGCGCAGTAACTGTAGTTGCTGAGCATTTAATTAGTATTTTATTAAGCAAGTACTAAACTAAACGTGCAGTAACTAAGGCACATTAATGAACATATAGATGCGCCCAGCATGTTGAAGAGTCCTGGACTAGAGTGCTAGCTCCATTGGCCAGCCAAGGCCTTGACTTCTTGGGGGCAGCTCTGTGAAACACCTTCGTCTTGTGCCTCTGGGCAAACACAATTAATTTTTGCATTGTAGCTCATGGGGACAGCAGGCTGGACTCTTGCGTTCAGCCTGCATCTTCAGAGCAGCACCGTTCCCCCTGCAGAAATGGATATGCCAAGACATCAGCAATGCAGACGGCTCCTGGTGTCCCTTGGTGCACATGGGTGCCATGCCGCAACAGCCCGAGCTATTGTGGAGCTGTATAGATGCTTTCCTGACAACTGAGCCTAGCATTTGCATGTGCCAGCAAAGGGGCACAAACACTGTCCCTCCACGCGATGGGCTGTGCAGCTCCGGACACACAGAAATGGAGTTCACAGGGAGGTCTGCTGGAAGGCCCGGCTCGTTCTGCTAGACCTTGAGGTTATTAGCACAGCCATAATTAAAAGCACTTGGAGTGAGCGCCCTTGCCAAAAGCAGAGAGAGACACACAAGAGTCTTTCATTGTTTAATGGGATATTCCCACTAATCGGTGGACGGGAGGCCCGCAGGCTCTCGGGCATTGGCTTTCACAGCCTCTTCCCATAACACTGTCATTTACTGTTTGGTTTGGAGAGACAGCGGTTGCACATGCAGGGCCTGATCCTTTCCCCTGCTGAAGTGAGGGAGAGAAAGGACAGATCAGGCTCCTGTCAGCCAAAAAAAGAGCGCTGAGGGCGCTAGCTAGAGAGAGGAGCCAGGCAGTTGGCTTCATGCCCACTTTTCTGGCCTGCCCCTTACCCAGCTCCGCTCCTGTCCTGTCCCTGGCCCTTCATGCTGGCTTGCATTCAGCATCTTCTGTGGTGCAGGTGGAGTCCCTACAAGGCCTTGGCCATGCCAAGCTCATTTTTCAGCCCTGATTCACCTCTCCGGGGGGCTAGGGGGCGAGACCCTTTCAGAGGCACTGAGGATGGATGGGCCCATCCCTGCTAACCATGTTCTGTTGTTCGGCAGCTCAATTACACCCGGCCAGGACTTCCCAAGTTAAATCCAAGACTGCTGGAGACCTGGAAAAATGAAGTGAAGGAGAAAGGACACATCAACTGTCCCAATGATGTAAGGACATTTCTGTATCTCCTGCGGGCAGGGGGCAGCGGAGGGGAGGGATCTCAGCGAGGAGATCACTGCTTCTTGCTTGGATCTGGATTCAATCCTCCGCAGTGGAGTTGGGCATCTTAAAGCTTTTACCAAGAACAGGCACCCGGACTTGGCTGGCCACGGTGCCATGGTGCTCCATGCATCACGCTCATTGTGACAGTGATGGCATCGCTACCAGCCACAGGCCAAGGGGTGGCACTAGGGGCAGCTGTCACAAGGGTCCCCTTGCTTTCAGCCACCTGTGATTTAAGGAAACCTGGGCCTGATTTCCCAGTCTCTTTACTGGTCGCAATTCCAGTAACTGCTTGGGCCTTTTGCACACATACAGAGCCCCGGTTTTATTGATTCGTTTATCTGATTTAATTTGCTCACAAATTTCCCCCCACTCCCCCAAAACAAGATGCATATATCTTGGGGTTAGCACACGTGTCCTTGAAATCTCTTTTAAGACGCCTGCTGTTCCCAAGGATGTGAACCGAGCCCCCCCACCTTCCCGCCACTGGGCCATTGATTTATAATTCGACACAAAACCTCATTCATTGGCATTTGAAGACAGGGATGTTAGCGCCAGCCTGAGTGAGACGCATTGGCTAATTAACACACACTAGGCAAGGCTGATTCTCAGGGGTAATTATGCTGCTCCCGCAGTGATTAGCCTTTCTTCCGTGAGCTTCTGCTGTGGCGCTGAGAGCTTCTGGATCCCAGTGGGGCCTCCTGATGGCAAGGAAATGTGCATTTGTCACAGAGACGTTGAGGGATACGTTTCTCCGGCCGGTGCAGGGGGATGCAGCCACATGACTCCTGTTAGCGCTAATAGGAAACGTGTGGCCAGATCCCTGCGCGTGACATGGAAAATTAACCGCATGCTGATTAGGCGGTGCTGGCAATCAAACCCGGGCAGCCCCCCTGGGCATGGTGGAAACAGAGAGAGGCAAGGAACCAGGGAAGACCCACTGCAACCCCCTCTCTTTCTGTCTCTTGCAGTGCTGTGAAGCCATCTACTCCAGCGTCTCCGGCCTCAAGGCTCACCTGGCTAACTGCAACAAGGTAGGTCTGTGTGGGGGCAGAACTTGGCTTCCAGCAGTCTTGTTTGAAGCAGGGGATCCCATCTCTCAGCCTCCTCGTAGCCCTTGCGGGGACAAGAGGGAGCCATTTAGAGGCTTTTCAATAGTCCAGCACTGGGCTTCAGCACCATTGAGACCTCCCTGAAGCCCTGAGGGGTCCATAGTCCTTGTATTGGCCTGGTGGCTGGGGGAACTGCCCCACCACGTCAGTACAAGCTCCACGGCTTTAACAGAGCTGCCTTCCCCTCAGCACTTGCCACCCCTCAAAGGGGTTTCACGCAGGCCACTACCATAGCCAAGGCGATCCTCACCATATAGGCTTGTCTGCACCATAAAAGGCATTGGACTAGGATGGAGCCAGTGCCCATAGCCATGCCCAAACCTGTGGCCTCCATTTGGAGATGCAGCGTGCATGAAGGGGCAGCCATGTTGCGCAGACCTGCGGCCCAGTGCAGCATGGTCCAGCAGTGATGGAGGCACTCCCTCGGTGTCCATCACGGTTACAGCAGTGAATGCCCAGAGCAGTCGGCACAAGGTAGCCAGCAGTTGCACACCAGTTTGGGTAGCACAGAGGCAGGGATTTTCAAAGGAGCCAGGACAGGGAGACATCTCGCACATGTTGACTCAAAGCCCTCCGACCCTTTCACCCCTGTAGTCTATATAGTTGCATTCTAGGAGAGAGACAAAGCCAGAAATGGGCACAGAATGACATTAGCTGCCTGGGTCCTTATAAATGGTGCCGCACTGGAGTTCAAATGCGAGTGCACTCTGGAGATAAAGCATTAATTTTTCCAGGTTAAATTAACTCCATAAGCACTGGCCCACGGCAAGACAGGGGGACTCAGTGCAGCTCCGCTGAATTGGAAACTGAGAAAGAACTAGTAAAACTTTAAATCCTGAAGTGTTTCCAGCTCTAAAGCACATGGAGCAGCGTTTCCAGAAGGCAGGCCTAGTGAGCCAACTATGTGCTCGGAGATTATTAAAAATATATCCAACTCTCTCCCCATCGGCGCAAGCTGGAACGCAGTCTCCTAATGAGATAATTTGGAAAATCGCATGCAGATATCCTCATAACGAGTAGGATTTGCACAAAACAAACAAGCAGGCACGGGAGACTCAAGCTGTTGTTTGGCGAGATAGCAGAGCCTCCCAGCTTGCTAGGAAAGGGGCCCTCCGTGGAACGACGGGAGACCGGCGAGAGTGCCAGGGCCAGTGCTCCCTCCCAGTCATGCACGAGTTGTCTGTTGTGGCACACATGAGGAAAAGGATGTGCAAGTGGCCCTGTGACATCTCTAGTTGGCCACAGGAACGTGGGGCTAGAAAGGACCAGCCAGATCATTAATCCAGCTGTGCAGACACTGCAGAAGTGCCGAGTGGAGCCTGTCCCAGCTGCAAAGCAACCCTTCACACGTGCTACGGACTTAGGGTCTCTCACGCAAAAAATCCCAAATCTGCAGAAGCAGCCAATGCAGTGGCAGTGACCACAGCTGTGATGCTTGGACTCTGCAAGTAGTAGCACCTGCATTGCCCTGACTCAAGAGCTGCTCCTGCTCCAGACAGCTGACAGGGAGCCCGTGCATCTATGCAGCATGAGGCAGAGCGGGATTCCTGCATGAGGCATTAGCCCAGCCTGCCTGTGCTCTTAGCTGCTCGCTGCACAGTGCGGGGCAGGACATGGGACGCGTATGCACCGGCTTGCAGATCCAGGCGCACACGCTGCAGGAATGGCCACCGAGCACTTAGCTGCCTGGTTGGAGGGCAGTTTCTCCCACAAGCAGTATGCAAGTCTGCAGCCCCCACACTGCCCTTGTCTCCCGCCCTGACTTAAATGGACCAGCAATCTGCCACCGTGGATGATCTGTTCCCAGCACATGCTGTAGGGCCACACTTAGGAAACCCAGTACACCAGGCTCAGTTTTGTTTTCTTCTAATTGATTGCAGAGGATATGAGCTGATAACTCCCAAGCATGAAGCAGGTGCTGAGTCACTGCCCTGTTACCAGGAGAGATCAATGATCTCAGATTAGTTTGCGTGATTATTTATTAAGTGCGACTCCAGGCTGCCTAGACCTGCCTGCGTAAAGACACAGCCAGTAAATGAGAGACCTGTCAGCCCCCAGATTTATGGTGCAGTTAGGACTGGATTCCCACCAAGGACATACATCGCCCGCTGTATAAACCCTAGGTCAAGAGAGAACGTGTTAGCTTCCCAGTGCCAGTGGAGAGTAGACAACCCATTCATTTTCACAAGGACTGTAATAATGGAAATGCAGCAGCCGAATCGCCTGTTCAACAACAGAAAGGCAAAATTAGAAAAGAACCATGCGTCATAAATTAGGAGAAATTTCAAATCCCAGCAGGCGTCTCCAACAATCACAGAATCTGCTGACAGCCACGAAATTGGGCCCTTAGCCATCTTAAATTTTAAAAAAAAAGAGTCCATGTTAATGTTATATTACCAGTGAGATTTGTAATGCACAAACTCCAGGAAATTCGCATTACAGCACCCGCAGAAACAATTGCTCATTCTCTCCCGGGCACATGTGCAATAATGTTGTGTCGTTGTAGAAAGGGGTTAACTTTTATGCCCGGATACCAGGGTACAATACAGCTGATTTATCGTTGCCGTGGGAACTGTAGCGATGACTTTCCTGGCTTTTATGCAATTAAAATCGGCACCATTGTGGAGGAGAATGCGGCTGCCTGTGTCAGCGCTCGCAACGCCCTGTCTCCTGTGCATCTCCAGGGTTTTAAGCCTTTGGCGTCACAATCCTGGATGTTTTTCATGGATCAGGCCCGTGATGCACGTGTGCATTTGCACTCCTCAGGTGCAGGGATAATTGAACGCACCTGTGGCTAATTGAGCTGAAGCTTTACAACTTCCCCCTGGGTGCATTGTGCATTGGCTGCTCTGCCAAATGAGATATGCAAAGGTGCATGCCTTTGCACACATGCCTGAAATGTGCCCATCTCTTCTCTTTGGATATATGTCTCAAGGGAAGGAGCCTCCAGAGCTTAGCAGCAGAGGGGCCAAATTGCATTGCAATGGGCTGGCCTTTTGAGTTAAGAGCCTCTGAAATCCTGCCAGTCCTTGCGTGTGGTATCTTAGGGCCACGTACACACTTGCCAACCAAGTCTTTGAGCTGCTGATGCCCAGGGAGCTTCTGGGGGCCTTTAGCTGGACGCAGAATAGGGACCCTCTTTCTGCTGAGGATGCCTCGAGCTTTCCAAAGGGTCCTCGTTTGGGTGGTGGGAGGTCTGCAGCCTCTCCCCGAGGGCCCACGGGAGATTGCTGCAGGGTACAGGAGGCTGCTGCCTGCCTTCCAGGGAGACCACTCCATGGGGAAGTACCGCTGCCTGCTGTGCCAGAAGGAGTTCAGCTCGGAGAGCGGAGTCAAGTACCATATCATCAAGACTCACTCAGAGGTGAGGAAGCAGGGTGGGCTGCAGGGGACGGAGGCCTGTGAACCCATATCTGTTCAAAGCAGCTGCGGGGGTGTAGAGAGGTGCGCGTCTACACGGGCAGGGCTTGGGGTGGGTGTGCAGGAAAGGAGAAGTGGGGGAGGAAGGAAAACCCCTGGCAGGAGGGGGTGGCCGGGAGGGTGCAGGCCCCTTAGCTGAGACCGATGCGGTGCCCCAGGAAGGTCTCTAACCACTTGTCCCGCCTTCCTTCCCGCTCTGGGCACAGAACTGGTTCCGCACCTCTGCAGATGCTTCCCGGAAAAAGAAGAGCAGGGAACAGATTTCTTCCAGCAACGAGGAGAAAAAGGAAAGCACAAACGGGAAGAAAAGAGGCAGAAAACCCAAGGAAAGGCCCCCAGAACCATCCACCAAGGGCAAAGAGAGCACGGTGGCAAAGACTAATCACAAGAAACCCCCAGAGCCTTGGGAGAGCTCCAACTGCCGGCTTGGCATGGAGGAGAGGGGCCCCAAGCTGCCTGGCAGCCGGAAAGCAGGAGCCAGCAAGATGCCCGAAAAATAAGAGGTTCCCGGACTGTCTCCGAGGATTCGTTTACAACCCAGGGTAACGAGGCGGGGGCTGTGCCGGGTTTCTGTCCCCCTTCCCCCCCCCACGCCTCCCTTTTTAAGAGAAAAAGAGGAAAACCACTTTAAGGAAAGTCACGGACCTTGTTTCACACTGGAAAAGAGAGAGGAAAGAGACTGCAATTTTCTACCCAGCCTCTCCCCATTTCCACGACCCCCCACCCCTACACTTGTGCACGCACACACGGGCTCCCGGCTTCCCTGCTCATACGTCTCTTCCCCTCCCCACACAGCGGGGATCCTTGCTGCCCCTTCGCCCATCACGTCTCCGGGCTCCGTGCACCGAACGGGTGATACTTGAACGAAAGGCAAGTGCAATAGCGCCGGGATCCACGCCTGGCCTGGGACTGCCTTTCAGTTTGCCGTAGCGAGGCGGGATCCCTCTGCGTTTCCTTTTTGTGTGGGATGGGGAGTGGGGCAATGTCTTGTCTGACTCGGTCCACCCTGCGCCCTCAGGACGCTGCAGCCTGTGGATCCCTTGCGATGATCTAGTGGCTTTGGGGTTTCTGAAGACTCAGTGGCTGGCAAGGCTTAAACAAGGGCCCAGGTCATGAGTTGCAGGGATTGACAGGAGGCATGCAAGGCAGAGCCCCTACGCTGCAACGCAACTGGAGGCTGGGTAGTAATCCCAGGAATGAGCTGTGTGTAGTGCCGAGGGTTTATGAATGGTCCACGAGACTGTTGCATGGGCATCCCGGGTGCATTTCGGAAGATATGGTCCTGCCGAGCCATGAACTGGTGCTGGGCTGGTTTCCTAGTCCCATCTGCCTGCGGTAGTTTTCTGTTTGGTGCATCAGGTAGGCAGGATCAGGCCACAGGTATCAGCAGATAGGCACAGCCATGGCTTGTCCACCACCCCACCCCCAGGAGCAACGAGATGGCAGTCCATCTGTCTGTCTGCTGCAGCCAGGGCTGTTCTCATGCCCAGCAAGGCAGGATACAGGCCTTTGTGGGCCTGGATCTGAAAAGAGGGAGGCTGGTGTTATCAGAGAGGCCAAACTCGCCCATGTCCAGCAGCAGTCAGTGGGAGCTGTGGGTGCTCAGCACAGCTGGGAATCAGGCCCACTGGACCAGTCAAGGGAAAGGGGGTTTGCACAGGATGGTGGGTACGGAGGAGGGAGAGGGGAAGGCAATCTATTTTGTTCTTTTCTGGTCTTTTAACTGAAAACGGGGCAATGCAGAATGGATGTGAGCTCCCTGGGGCTCAAGGGAAGGGGAAAGAAGCCCTCTGAAATGCTGAGAAATGCTTCGAGGTTGGGTTTTTAGGGTTTTGATTGTTTTAATACCCCTTTAGACAAAACTACTGTATCAAATTGATACTGAACTTCAGCTACAAATAGTTCTTTAGCAATAGAGCCGAGCAGATATTGCAGAACGCAGGCGCAGAGGCCCTTGGGTTCGTGCTCTGCCTGCGCCCAGGCCGGCAGGCAGGAGCGTCGGCAGACAAACGCCGCGGGGCGCAGGCTTTCACACTTATGCCGAGGAGGCTTTAAACTGAAAATTGCTCCGAAGAGTGACTCTGGTGAGTCCCTGTTCAATCAGAACAGCCATCGGAGGCACCTGCCGTAGGCCAGGTAGGGTGAAAAAAATGGGAGTATCCAATTCATTTGAGAAAAGCGTTGTCTTTTGAGGTTAGAGAAAAAGGGCCAGCTGGTCTAAGGAGGCTTTCCAAGTGACTCGCCCTGCGCTCTGTTCGTTAGGCCCATGAGATCTCAGCAGCCCCAACGTTGGCACAGGGTTGGCTTCAAGTGACAATCATGGGTCAGGCTTTATGGTTACGGCCCCAGTGATGCCAAGCTGACGCTGCAGCTGGTTGAACACACACTGCACTTGGCCTCATTGGGTGGACCAGGCCTGGGCCCAGGGGACAGGTCTCTGATGCCCCAAATGTCCTGTTGACCTCAGGTCATCTTCACCCTCCCTCCCTGGCGAGGCGGGGAGGATGCCTCTTTCCATTGCATTTTCCTTTGAAGACCTGCACTAACTTTGAATCCAGATTTCTCAGAGCCAGGACTGTCAGGACACCCAGTCTGGTCTGGAGGAAGAATAAACCCCAGACCAAAGCCCATCTGCTTGCAGACACAAACCAGGCTACCTCTGTCTGTGGACCAGATGTGGCTCCTGCTGCAGCTGGCCCCCACAGCAGGTCTCATGGAGCAGTTTTATAACATACTTTGCACTTGCTCATGGGACAACAGCACCCTTCATTCACCACAGGGCCTTGCACACCCTTCATTCACCCCAGCCAGGGGGTTTGGCGGGTGATATTTCCCGGGAGGGGGGGGTAGGGAATTCTGCTTATTTAGCTAATGAAAGCCTTGCGTGTTTTTGCTCCCCTGGCTCTTGCAGCTTATCCTTGAGCCCACTGACCTTCTGTATTTTTTTCACACTCAGAGGAGCCATTCAGTGATAATTAATGACCCTCTTGAGTGACACATTATTACTGCCACATAGAGAGACATCGCCTCCCAATGTCAGGTTCACTCCCCAAGAGAATCCCTGCAGAAGACCTGGCCCATATATCCTGACGGCTGAATTAAACCATCCGCCAGTCCCCTGGTTGCACACCGAAAACTGCGGCAGCCTCATACCTGCCTGGAGGAAACTCAGTCCATGGTAGCTAACCGTGGTTGGCGAAGGCAGAGCACACTTTTTGTTACCCAGAGAGCTGGTGACCGCTGGGTTTGCTCCCGGCTAGAACTGCAGCTCCTCTCTTTGGAGCTTTCCTCTGCACTAAAGAAAAGGTAGGGAAAAAAAACCCACAGGGAAGTGCCAATTTTGCAAGAGTTTTGGGTGCTAGATTGTTGATATTGTAAGCCGACAGAGCTGCAGGACTCCCAGGAAACTTCTCTTCGTGGTCTCGGCAGAGCAGTAGCCACAGCAAAGCCTCCTGCATGGGTTCCTTCTTCCCCAGCCCCTTGAGAAACTGGGGGTGGAGAAATGCTCATAAACGGTTGCCTGTTCGCTCAGCAAGTGCAGAAACCTGAGTTAAGAGCCAGGTCACTGCATCCTTATTAACAAGGTAATAAAACAGAACCTCTTATAAAAGCTGCTTTGTGCCAGGACCTGGCAAATAGGGTCCCAAAGACCAGCTCCAGCCTCTTGAGAGAACCACTGGACATCCCCCATTTATTAATGTCCTGTCTATTAATGAATCATCTGCCTATTAATCAGGAGACGTGTGAAGTCCCATACTTAGGAGGGAACAATCCCATGCACCAGGACAGGCCAGGGGCTGACTGGCTGGGCAGCAGCTCTGCAGAAAAGGACCTGGGGGTGACAGGGGACAATAAGATGGATATAAGCCAGCAGTGTGCCCGTGGTGCCAAGAAGGATAATGGCATCCTGGGATGCATTGGTAGGAGCATTGCCAGCAGATTGAAGGAAGTGATTCTTCCCCTCTATTCTGCACTGGTGAGGCCACATCTGGAGTCCTGTGTCCAGTTTTGGGTCCCCCACTACAGAAAGGATGTGGACACATTGGAGAGTCCTGCAGAGGGAAACGGAAATGGTTTGGGGGCTGAGGCACATGGCTTATGCAGGGGGGTTGTGAAGAGGATGGAGCTGGACTGTTCTCAGTGGGGCAGACAACAGGACAAGGAGCAATGGGCTCCAGTTGCAGCAAGGGACGTTGAGGTTGGATATTAGGAGAAACTTTCTCACCAGGAGGGTAGTAAAGCACTGGGACAGGTCACCCAGAGAGGTGGTGGAGTCTCCATCCTTGGAGGTTGCAGACCCAGGTAGACAAAGCCTTGGCTGGGATGATGTAGTTGGGCTGGTCCTGCTTGGAGCAGGGGGTTGGACTGGATGTGACCTCCTGAGGTCCCTTGGGCTTGGGCCAGCCCTGCTGCTGGTCAGGGCTGACAGCGTTCTCCTTTAGCTCGCAAGTGGAGCTGCTTGCAGACCTGACATCGCTGCAGAGACCTCTTTGCAGCCCTGTGCTGCTGGCTGCTGGGTGCTAGCAGCCTTCCCAAGGAGCGGGCATGCGTGGCTCGCTGCAGGGAGAGCTGGGCACGGAGCTTTGCTGGGGCCCGTCTGCAGCGGTGCGGGAGGGTTGGGACGCGGCATCAGTCTGCAGTCAGCGGCAGTGTTTCCCCATGGTCCTCAAACCAGGCCAAGAGCCCCAGAGTGAGCTCTGAAGGACTTTCCACTCCTCTTTTTAGGGCTTTCTGCTATGAACCAGGCACAGTTAAATGCCTGACTGATCCCCTGCTGTCAGAGCGTGAGTGTGCACGTAGGGAAAACACAAAGGGAATTGGTCTGGGAAAACATCAGGGCAGTCTCCAGCCATTGCTTCTGGCTGTGTCCCAGGCAGTCGGAGGCCTTCCACGTCTCAGAGGTTGTGCTAGTGCTTTCTCCTCTTCTTTTCTCCTTCCCCTAGACAAATGCGGTTAGAATTGCTGTGGTTTTGGGCTAGTTTCCCGGGCCTCCCTCCAGCATGCTGAGTGCCTCGGCCCCTTTGCAGAGTGCTGAGACTTGCCTTAAGCATAGCTTTGCACAGCTCTTCATCCCTCCTGCTTCCTCCGTGCACATGGCTGCAGGGCAGGGGAAGGATCTGGGACACATCCGCATGATGCACGCTCTCTCACAACTGAGCTGCAGGTCCAGACCCTGCGCCCGAGTGTCCGGCACCTCGTGCGGTTGTGTGCAGCTGCCTGTGGTGCGCACCGTGTCACCACTGCTGTGCAACCTGCCTGTGCAAATTCACTTGATTGAGGGCTTAGGCCTCCCTGACCACAAGCTGCTGCATCTATTCAGTGCTAAGGGAGGTGGCTGTGTCCTGGACCCACCCCCCATTGCTTTCACCCAGGACGGTGGTGTCCATCTGGGGTGTCTCCAATGCCTTGGTGTACAGACAGCAGTGCCGCTGTACCCCCAGTGCTGGCCCTTTGACACAGCAAAGTCAAAACACCGCCCTAGCCTGGCAGTGGCCATGCAAGGGGGTGTGGGGAGGGCTGCTGTGCCCTTTCAATCCCCCGTTGGCATAGTGCTCCCAGGGAGCACAACTCAGCAGAGCCCCTGGGCTGCTCTAAGTACTGCCAGTGCCCAGACCAGGAAGGTAGAAGATTGGCATTAAGCTGCCCTGCCCCAGGCATGGCCAGACCCAAGGATCGGTCCCAGCTCAGCCAATCCTTGCCATGCCTCAAGTCGTCCTAGATTTGCTGTCGGTGTGTCAGCGACTGTTTGAAAACACCTGGCCCTTCTGCATGCTGGGGAGGAGCGGGGGACATGCTGCTGCTTCACCCTGGGTCTTGTATCTTGCTGGGCACGTGCTCTGCACCTGCTACACGGGCAGGGTGTTAATTGGCTGCAGGGGGACTCCAGGTGCCAGGGGAATGCAGGTCAACAGGGGCTGGTCGTTAGGAAACGAGCAAGCAGAGAGAGATTTCACACTCAGCAGCAGGTACCAAGGTCCAAGTCCTCTGGGGGCATCAGCCAGCCCAGGTGCGTTGTTTCCAACTGATTAAGAGCAAGCGGTGAGATTGCCAGCTCTCTCTGTGGTGACAGCCTGGTTACTGCCAGGTCCTTGTAACGTCGCTGCTGCATGTGTCTAATGTGAACAGCATGGATTTGGCCGGGTGCTTGTAGCCAGAGGTGGATTCACGTGCCGTTGTGCAGTACTCTGTGCTGGGGAAGCCTGCATCCAGCTCCTGACTGCCACTGGTTTGCTGCGCAACATTGGGTGTGCCTTCCCAAGCCTCGGTTGTCCCCGTCTGTAGAGTGGGGATAGCAGTCCTTTTGCAGCATGCTGTGAGACGTGGCTGGGAAGCGCCAGGGAAGAGCTGGGCATGAGAGGGCAGCAGAAGCTGCCTCTGGAGCTGCAGCCCCCACTTGCCTTGCTGATCTCCCTCACACCTGTGCCTCAGTGACCAGGGAGGCTTTCAGGCACTGGATGTGATGCAGGGCTCAGTGTATCAGGGATGTGTTCGGTTTCTCACCAGGGATTAATGTTTGCTGCAAAGCCTCTTAAAGCAGAACGCTTTCCAGCTCAGGCAGAAGCGGTCCCTCGCCTAAAGGCTGAAGGCTGGGCTGGTCTCTGCTGCCTCAGTTTCCCGCTCCATGCAGATGCATGCTCAGGTTGGCAGGGGCTCAGAGAGGGGGCAGCTGGGCAGATTATAAGCATTCATTGAGTGCCTCAGCCTGTGTCCAGGCCTGCTGCTCCCGAAGCTGATAGGGCACCGGCACTGGCTCGTTTGGGCTGCAGGAATCGTGTCCAGGCTCGGCTGGTTCAAAGCACATTCTCGTGGTAATGCAAGGGGACCACGTGGGAGCTTGTGCAGCCTCCAGAAGCCTTTGGCTTCGGTCGGACGCTTCTTCCTGGAGCAGCCTGGGGACAAGGTCCCCTGGCTGCTGTGGCCTGAGCGCGCACAGATATGGTGGCACCGCTTATGCCATCTGAGCTGCTCCTGTCTTCAGGAAGGTGCCTCTGCCCCCATGCACGGAGCACGTGGCGCTTTCATCTGGCTTAACAGGGCCTGAGCTGATGCTGTGCAAGTCCATGTGCATCTTTTCCCTGGAGGAGAAGGCGTCAGGTCCTTATCCAGCCCCCACATGGGGTCACAGGCTTCTGGTTAGGGACTGGGGGCTTGACCCCCACTGCCGAGGTCCGGCAGAGCACAACCAAGCACCAGATCTGAGCAGAAACCCCTGAGATTCACTCACTAGAGATCCCGATCCAGGACCCCGATCTTCTATGAGACAGGACACGGGGAGGAGGCTTTCCCCATATCTAGCCATAAAATCTAGCATCACCAGTAAAGCAGCTGCTGGTGGTGCTGAGCTGAATCCGGAGGGGCCATGGCAGGGCTGGGCCTATGAGCAGGATGAGCTGTGGGGATGGACTTTAAGCAAAGGAAAGTTCACAAACACTTCTCCTTTGATCAGAGGAAAGATAATGATTAAAAGTGGAAAACATTACTTGCCAGAAGTATTATATATATATCAGCCCCTGAGCTGGCATCTTGGCCGACAGCTCCCCCCAGATTGAAATCCTAGTTTCCTTGCAGCCGGGTAGCTTTTGAACGGACAATCAGAGCATGTAAAGGGCAGGTAAAAAGTGGAGCCTGTTTGGCACATCTAGGTAACCAGGGTTTAAAATAAAGGCAGTATCTGGGGTACCTGGGAGGGATGCACAGGTACCCAGGCAGCGTTTTGTTTAGCTCGCGTTGGTGTTGGCTGCACCCGTCCTAGTAGGGGACGCTGTTGCTGGCTTCCAGCCGGATGCCAGGCCCGTGATTTGTGGCTGCAGTGATGATTTTAGCCCCGTGATCTGCTGCAGGAAGGGTCGGATCAAACGGCTTAGGGGATCGCATCATCAGTGCAAGGGAACGAGCATCAAAAGGACAGAGTTTGACCCGAGGCTGCGTGCAGGGCGAGTGTTTCCATACAAAATGGGTCTGTGCGCCTGCTCCCTCAGTTAAAATCAGTTTGCTGTACAGGAGGGCTTCTCTCTGGAGCCTGTGGGATACGGTGAGCTCCTTTACACTGGTAGAAATCAGGAGTTAGTCCCAGGGAAACCCAAATCCCAGGCCACCACTCTCCACCTCATTAAATTTGCTCCAGATGTAGGCAGCTTTGCACCCCAGGATAAGCTGATCTGTGTCCTGCCAGTGTGGGAGGATTGAAGCCGCAGGGCCACA